CCCCGGGGCCCCTGGGGCCGGGGTGCAAGCGCCTGCCCACTGCGGGAATCGCAGCTGAGGGCGGATGGATGGTTCCATCCACCTTCAGCGAGGAATACTCAGGCACCGCAAGGGCTGGGGCATGGCCAGCCCGAGGGAGCATGGCCATGCTAGCCCACTGGGGATGCTGCTGTGTCCACATAGCAGTAGGCATGGCACCTGAGGGCTGCACTCCTTTTCCTGGCAGAGAAGGGGTCCTGCTGGCACCACAGCTCCCTGTAAGCCAGGCCTGGCATTGACCTCCTTTTCTGCTCTATAGAGCAAGCCAAGCATGGGCATGGTGGGGAAAGGGGAGCTCAGACATGGAGCCCACCATGCCCAGGCACCCCTTATCCCTGCCACAGCCATGGGCCATGCTGGACATGGCAAGGTCTTCATGTGCTGCTATCAGCCTGCCTCCCATCCCTCATGCCAAGCTCCACACAAAGTTTGGGGGATGCCCAGGCCAGGCAGGAGGGGCAGGGGAGCAGTGAGGAAAGACCAGGGAGGTCAGTCAGCACCCAGCAGTCTGGGAAGCTGAGGGACAGGGAAGCAACTTCAGCACAAACGAAGGATAGAGAAGGTGGTGGCACACGGCAGAGCCTGTCCTGCTCCTGCTTGCCCCCATGGCCCCTCATTGCAGGAATTGTACTCTGTCGCCCACGTGAGCACACTACCAGAACAGCAATTTTGGGAGCCAGGATGGGACCTGCAGCAAGCCAGCTTCCAAAACCTCTCCCAGAAGCACCCAAGGATTCCATCCATACCCCCCTCATAGCACACCCATCCCTCCTGCCACCCCTTGTCCCACTCCTCACCTGGACGTTCGCCTTCCCCTCAGGCGGCGATTTCCTTACCTGCCTCTCCCCTTGCCTCCCTCCTCGGCGCCTCCCCAGCCGGCTGGCAGCCCACTGCAGCTACTCCCTCCCGGGGCTGCTGTTCCCCGTCCTCCCTTTACTCCTCCCTTCCAGATCTGACACTTCCCCCCCTCCTCCCCGCTCTCAAACCCAAGCTCCCCCGCACACCCTGCAGGCCCCCCTTCCAGAGGAAGAAAGAACAAACAAAACAAGAGATTAAATTCGCTTTCTACTCAAGAGCCCCCAGCGCCACAGGCACGGAGTTGCTCAAGGAGTTGCTCAAACTAAATTAGGAGGAATCCATTCTCCTTCCATCCCCCTGCCTGCTCCCAGGTCTCAAATACCCTCCTTTACTGAGATAAGGCAATGTTCAGGATTATCTACCCCCCTACCCACCACCCACCTCCTTTTCTGGGGCAGGTGCAGGAGGCTTTGTCCCATCATGGAGAGATTTCAGGTGGCTCAGGACGGCAGCAGAGCCCACCCTGTCTCCCCATGGCCTAGCCAAGAGAGGCTGAATGGCCAGCCCAGGACACAAGTATGGCGAGGGTGGGGTGCAGACCTTCTGCTACCCAGAGCGAAGAGATATTGGCCACCGTTTGAGCACCTGCCCCTTACCTGAGAGGGTTCAAGCCCCACCGTAGATTTGAAAAGGAAAGAACTATCCCCCTGATGTCTCGGACTTGCCCCAGTCACCGGGAGCGAGCAGGACGGCGGCAGGAGGCCGGGGCTGGGAATGCGAACTATGCGGAGACAGGCTCTACCTGCAGCTTCCCCGCGCCCGGCCCCGAAGCTGAGGAA